CCCGCTTCGTGAAATGTTTGCACAGAGGGCTCTTGTTGATTTGCTGGCCCGCCTTCACTTAGGGCGGGCACGAGGCTTGCTGGGGCCTTAGCCCAGAACATGGACATCATGGCAAGGGCCCTTCTTGAGGGCTTAATCCTCACACTGAGCATTACATCCAAATTCCTTACCAAATTTGAAATAAAAATAAAATACGAAAAAAAAATACTAATAATAAAAATCATAAAAATTAAATTAAAATTAAATTTAGCGAGTGTGCTAGCACCTTTTCGACACCGCCATCTTTGGCGATTTTTCATTTTTTTTTGGCATAGCTAAATGACCTGAAAATTTACAGATGTGTACTTCACATAATGTAAAACCCACTAAAAAAGTTTCAAAAAATAATAAAATTGTTTAGACCTCGAACTAAAGTGAAAACAAAAAGTAAAGAGTGAAAACAAACCAGGGCGAGCACGTTTTGACACCGCCAACTTTGGAGATTTTTAATTTTTATTTGGCTGCAGGAAATGACTTGAAAATGTATAGGCATGTACCTCACGTCATACAAAACGCACAAAACAAATTCAAAGAAAAATTATTATTTTTAGGCCCCGAAGTTCTTTTTGGCGGGGGTCGAACGCCGTCGGGTTCGGACCCTGTACGGACCCTGAACGCCCGTACGTATGGAGGTCTGCCCGGGGACCTCCGTACGTACGGACTGGTGACCCTGTATATATAGATATATATATATTTTTTGGGTTTTGATTTTTAACTCATGATTGGCTACGAATTTGAAAATGACTCCAAGGCAAAAGTTGCTTACATTGTTATTTTACATAACATATATGTTTTTCAGATTTTTCTGAGCCCTTTTTTGTTTTTGTTTTTTTATTATATTTTTTATGTTCGCGTTCGGAGGGTTTTGGGCGTTTGTTCGCGTTCGGGTGAACATATTCGCGTTCGCCTCCAAACTCGAACACGGTGCTACGTAGGTTCTACCTATGCTGTCTGTCAGATGTGTTAATGGTTGTACATCTAGCTAATCAAAATAAAAATAGAATCATTTGTATCGCTGTTTGCAGAGTGGAATTGTTCCCGAACTTATCACATGAAATCTACCCCTCCCTCAGGTCTTCTTGATGTCACTTGACGTCAGCGTTCCTGAGCAATCCTACCCCTGTGCCCCAAGTCAATGTTGAGCTGGCCAGCCCTGCAACATGTTTACCCTCGCGTGCAGCAAGCCTTACACCGACCGATAGGCTGATCAAGAGGCAGTTTAAGGACGGCCGCGAAGTCCTCAAGAATTATTTAACATTGCAAACAGGACGACGATCACAGCCAATGGAAGGTAACCCGCCAGTATTATTTATAAACGTTTGGTTCTCATCTCCCCTGTAGGGCTGGCCTGCCCCTCATGACCTATCTATAGCGCAGCAAGCAGGCAAAGGGCAAAGCAGCAAAGCATGCGTGCTCTACTCCCAGTGGGTTGGCATGGTGACCATGACCCGATGCTTCGTCCAGGGCCCTTCAGATGGCAATGCCCTCTCCTTCCAGATGCTCCACGTGAACAATGCCGAATCTCAAGGTTGAGCGCACTCGACTCCTCACAT